GCCTATAAGAAGTTTGCCCAAGTGCGCGTCCACCATGCGGAGTCCACCAATCCCGATAACAAGTTAGAAAACGCCCAGGTCTGGAATCCCCAAGCCCACCACTGCTCAGACTAGCCGCGGAACCAGGATGCTTCCAAAGTCCAGTTCACAGAGCCGACGTAACCTACTGGGGCATCTGATGGCTCAAGGCCCTTGAGAGGAGGCAGGGCGGATGCCGAATGCAAATTTTTCCTAAGTTGCAAGACGTAAGCCCTTTTGTGAATCCTATCCGGCAGCAGTCCAGCGGTACTAACACTCCAGCAACCCCAGCTGTGGCCCAGCCTATCCCAGGATTGTCCTCACGCAGGCGCAGAGCACCCCACGTCCCAGCGCGCATGCTCCGCCGGCCGTGGAGCTCCAGTCCCGAGGCGGCGGAAGAAGTTTCCGCTTTGCACTCCACCCCGGTAGCAGCTTCTCGGCCAGGGAGAGCTTCCTCCAGATCTCGCCCCCGTCGCCTGCCAGCCCAACCGAATCATGGGGTTCCCCAAAGGGCCCGAGGGCCAGGGTCTCCCAGAGGTAAGAACCCCCTCCTCTGTGGCATAGAATGGTTTAGGGAGAGGGCCGGGCTCACGGGGCTGCGGGCAGGAGGAAGCTCTGCGCTGCGAATCGGGGCGCCCCGCCCCCGTCTCAGGTGTGTCGGTGGCCGAGAGCGAGCCAGTTTCCCTCCTTCGGAGAGGGAGCAGCGGATGGGTGGTGATACACTCTAGCTGGTCCCTGTGTCCTGGTAGGGAGGTGACCTTCCCAGCCCAGCACCTGCCCTGACGCCGCCCGAAGCGCTGTAGGGCTCTGGAATCTCACCTTTCCGCTCTTTCCTCCGCTAGGACGTCTTCCCCACCCCCTCATCCCTGGGCGCTGCAGGGCTTGCCCAGAGGATGCTATGCCCAGGAGTCACGAGACGCGAGCTCTGGGACTGTCTGGGCTTTGGTTGTGCAGAGGGCGGTGACTTTGTGGCGTGGTCCTCCGCCTCTCAACCTGTGGGGTCCCAGGGCTAGTCTCATTGCCTTGTGGGGAGGGAATGCGCTCAGCATTTACCCCTGTCCGGATCCAGGCGGCAGGAGGAAGTTTGAGAACTGTGAGCGCGCCCGGTTTGCGTCCGACTAGGTCAGCGCCTGCGTTGTACGGTTTGGAGACACGCTGTCCATCAGGGCTGTGCGGCGGGGGACTGAGCACCAGGTGGAAACGTGGCTGCTGCTTCAGAAGATAGCGGGACTTCTCCAGAGGGTTTTGTTATTAAGTGTTCTCTCAGTCCTAGGGAACTGGATAATCCCTAGTGATATGGTGTAAAAACAAAAGCTCACATTCTTGGAGATGTCTTTCCCCAGAGACTCGGACACCTTGGATAAGAAGACTTTATCCCAAACGAGGTTGCCTAGGGAACAAGATGGCACTAGCTCAGACAAGGAGAGGGCAGCAGGCGTTGAAATATATCCTCTCTGGGGCTTTGTTCGCTGGTGCCTATAAGAAGTTTGCCCAAGTGCGCGTCCACCATGCGGAGTCCACCAATCCCGATAACAAGTTAGAAAACGCCCAGGTCTGGAATCCCCAAGCTCACCACTGCTCAGACTAGCCGCGGAACCAGGATGCTTCCAAAGTCCAGTTCACAGAGCCGACACAACCTACTGGGGCATCTGATGGCTCAAGGCCCTTGAGAAGGAGGCAGGGCGGATGCCGAATGCAAATTTTTCCTAAGTTGCAAGACGTTTCCGGATTTCCACCTTGTTTTGGGCAAAGGAAAAGTGCATTTCCTTTTAGCTGCAAAGATCGCTAGCAAGATGGGTTTTATCTGTCTTCCTTTTCAGTTTTTTCTCCCTTTTCAATTACTTTACTCAAAAGCTTATTTTATTAGGTTCTTGAGAGAAACAGAATTCAGGCTTTCACTTTCCTCCAGAGGTTCTGAAGCAGGCATTTAACAGGGGTGCTGATACCATGATATCATGAGTAGTCACTTCACACTTACCTGATTGTGGCTGGACTTTTGAGGTGTATCTGGATGTATCAGAACCTCCAATCTTTTGTTTAGCAATGAAGTACTCAGGGACTCCATCCCACAAATACTAAGTGAGGAATCAGTGTGTTCTGTGTGCAGAAACTGATGATACAGTGATGGAAGGACAAACTTGTCTGTCAGTATGATTACAGAATGCAAGTCCGTTTTGTTGTTAAGAGAACCTAACAAATGAAATGTCAAAATGGCTACATTAGCCAAAACCTTACATGCTGTGATGTGATCTAGGATTTTGAAGGTTAGGATTTATACTGTAGTATTTGAAGTTCTCTTTTGCCACTTCTTTATTAAAGCCCCTTTTCAAATTTTTGCCTGATTTTTTGCTTTAGACTCCTGTCTGATCTCCCAGGTTCAATTCAACTGTCAGCTGGAGTATTTCTAAAATAAAAAGCAGTCTTTTCTTGTCCTTGCTTAACCATTCACTGACTACTGGGAGGTTGCTTCTGATTTGTAATTATGAGACATTCAGAATGAATGAAATTATTATCGTTTAGTTCAAAGACAAATACATATGAATATGTATGATCTTTGTTATCAGGCTATCACTAAAACCAAAAAAAAAATCCAAACTCACTGCCATCAAGTCAAATCCGACTCATAGCAACCCCTCCTTGGGTTTCCAAGGTGGTATCACTACAGAAGTAGCTTGCTCAATCTTCCTCCCAAGGAGTGGCTGGTGGATTTGAACCGCCAGCCTTCTGGTTAGCAGTCGGGTGCCTTAGGAACTATACCACCAAAGCTACTAAGCTGTCACTAGTCCAGTTAATTCATTAAGTTCAATTTTTTTAATCCTGTACTGTATGTTTGTGAAGCAAGGAAAGAAAGACTCCAACTTGCCTTTCAGCTTGTGTGAACTACAGTGCACAGCAATTGAGAATTTATTGAGCCTGATTTAAGAGCTCACAGTCATTCGTCTTTATCAGAATTTTAGTTTTAACAGTCTATATTAACTAGTCTGGTGGCTTTTTATGATTTCAAGAAAAGTTACTCTTTCATTCTATGTGTATTAGCCAATGGTCCTTGTCCATTTTGTTTCAGTGTTAATCTGCAAAGTGAATTTGGAATCTTACTAATGTTCTCCATTCAGTGTCATATGACAAAAAGCTGTTTCACAGAATGTATTGCAAAAGTGAATTTCCCAACAAAAGACAGGCATATGAGTTGAACATTTACCTCAAGTAGATACACTCCTTGGAGAAAACAATCATGGGAGAAAGAAGGGCTGCTTATGCACAGGGAGATAGCTCAGGGGGCAGGATTTCATGGAGGGATGGACACAGGGAAGAGGTAACTATGGG